CCAAATAGCCTTGGGGACTCCAAAGGAGCGCGGTGATAAAACTGTCAATGTGAACTGATCTGTGAAACAGATGAGAAATAATGCCTACATGTACATGTATTTACGCGTGTACTTTTAAAAGCAAATTAAATGGTTAAATTTTGAGTCAAAAAATCTGCTTATGTAATTTTTTTAATGAATTTTTAAACTAATTTATAAACATGCATGTTTCACCATTTACAGTCAGTGCAAGATTTTGCTAACCGCTTCGTCCGGCAATACCCCATTCATCATTTTATGTCAACTTTACATCCAACTTCAGGGGGCAGACAGAGGCCATCCCAAACCACACAACCTACCGTACTCTGCCACATCCAATCTAATATCTGCACATACTTCCAATTTTACACCTACATGTAGGGATCTGCCAACATAATGATAAACTGTTAGTTCTAGGGAATTTGATATGGCTTGGTTTCCTGCCAGAGGTTTCATTTTTCAACCACAGAAGGATCTCTATTCAAATACAGGTGGGTCGTGCTGAAAGCACAATATTAATCACATTTGGTAAACTGGTTTGAGGCGCGACATTTACATAGTTCTACATGACTCGTAGAATGATTAGACTGTCCCGCTGCAGAAATTGAAATTTCTTATCAATTCTTAAATTGTCTCCAACCATCAAACTTGAGGCACTGTATACTGGTAATATGTTGAGTTCAACTACATACAAAGCTACATGTACAATGATAGGCACAGTCTGGACTGCTCATTTACAATGTCGGTACATGTACATGCACTATTTCCACACCTCTACACGTAATGCAGATGTTGCTCATACAATGCACATTCACTATACCAGCATAAGGTAAAGTACATGTACATACATTTGTAAACTATTATTATTATTATTTATTTATTTGGCCAAAACAATAGACATGACAGGACAATACAGATCAGTACTCCCAGATGGACCAGGGGCAGCAAATCCTGCACTAAAGGAAGCCTCTTCCAATGATTTTAACCACACTGAAAAATATGACATCACCAAAACTGGGCAAATTCTCAGGAACAAATCCCTTGTTAGTGGTACACGTAAATTGCACTGGTTAATGGTTATGTTCTGTTGGATTCCATGAGAATTTTGCAGGTACACGTAACACACCTGGCTATTACAGCCTGTACGGGTATATTGGATTCTGTTAAATTTAGAAGGGCACTGCAGAGAATATGCATAAGAGCCAACAGGGCAAAATAAAAACCTTCACAGCCACAAACGCTACTGTAGGCACTCAAGGCTTTGTGATTATGGGCTTCTTGAAGAGAGCAGTACAAACAAAAAGAACGCCAAACAATCCCAAAAAGTGCTTAGCCTTTGACTGCCGGTAAACAGATCTCTACCAGACACCTGCACAGGGGTGCAAACTGATGAACCCTGGCTTTTGTCATCCAGACACGATGAGTGTGGCTGTTTAACCTTGGAAGAATTTATTCTCCAAGCCTATTTGTTTGACAGCACTTCAGATTGACAAACCATTAGATTATTCACTATACTGCACAAGTCCGTTTTACTCGAAATTATTTCAAAAACCAAAACATGTAAAATTTTTAGAAACTTACGAGTGCACATGTAAATGTAGAGGCGTTCATGTACAGTATGTGCAATGGTACATGCATGTGCACAATTTTTAACACAGATCAACTAGTTAACCCTAACTCCCTAGGGTGTGTGCAAAATCATATTAAAATTGGAGGATTCAGGGCTGTTAGGATTAACTATGCAAAGATGCATTCTCAACACAGTTGTCCTATCAGTCAAAATCGATCAAGTGATATGTCTACATGTATGTACTGTACAGAGGAAGTGGAACGAATTTTTGACTGTTTTTGACAGTTACAGCAAAAGAACAGTTAATTAGAAAGAAAAGTTCCAAAAATTTGTGAGAAATACGTGTACATGTCCCAGTAGTAAGTTTGCAATTCCTTTTGATGAGAACACCTGCTCCGGACAGTGAATGAAGACAACCAAAATGACAGTTGACAGTAGTCACTTCCTACGGATTCCAAATTATGCCCTTGTAGCCCACCTCTTATTCCATAACTATAGATCTCAGTTATGATCTCTTATATCCCTCATCAATAGCCCCTCCTCATCAATAGGCCTCTTGGGGCAAATCTGTCTCTTCCAACCCCTCAGCACAGCTTGATGCACAGGTTCTCCCTGGCCAACTGCAGAGAGGGTGTCACGGTCAATCTGACTGCATGGGTAACATGCCTGTTCAAATAATGACCGTGTCATGGTTGATGGTCACTACCAGTGGATACCAACTGTAATTTTGTAAGTTACATTTACTCGGTAGGCCGCGATCGAAGTATTTGGCTATGGCTTGAAATTACACATGACAATATGGGAACTGGCGTCGGCCACTACCATTGACTCCTGCGTAATTTCAGGTCACAGCCAAGTAATTCGGACACAAACTACCACTAAATTAAAGCATCTGCTGAATCCTTCTCTGAGCATCTCTAGGCAATCTGTTCTTTAACTTAGTATCCCCCCCAATGCTTGATGCCTCCCACTGGCTTGTGGAATCCACACTGTCATGGTCAATCTGGTTATAAACACTTGACAGGCCTATTTTTGAAGTAGGGTTGATGACTGAAGATGAGCAAAATGTCCTTCACAGTCACTGGGGTAGGCAGGCTCTTCTCAGAGGGGAGAGGGGCAAAAAGGGGACACAAGGTCCCAAGGGGTGGAAAGGAGCAATTAGCCCTTCTTGTCTACATGTAATGTACAGTGTATGTACACGTACATGTACACGCTACACATACATACATGTCACATGTATAGGGGTACTACACATGTATCCATGTACAGTACAATACGTACATGGACAAGTTGTAGTCTGCACAAGAAAAACACAATTAAAAAAATTGTAAGAATCAAGAGATAAATGAAATCTATGTGTATAATACATGTACATGTACCCCCAGTGTACACTTTCTGGTTTGTCCTAGTGATGCATTTTGAGACATGAGTACATGTTCAAACTATAATGAAAGACTTACTTTACACGCACATGCATACAGTACATGCGGTGCATACATATACGTTTCTAAAACACTGACATGATAGCACACGACGTGGCTATAGTTTATCATCACCAGTATGTTTGGCCGGAAAAGAGCTACTGTAATATACATGTACATTATGTACAAATGCACAGGTACATGTACATACATTTTATTTCCCCTAATGGATACCGTATATACAAAGTGCCATGTTCTGGTAGATCACCAATAGCTTTTTGATTCACAAAGGAGGCTGCAGTTGCATGTAAATCAGACAATTGTTAATTACACAAATGTTCACACATACATGTACATGTCACTTTGAAATAAACTGCCAATTAAACTCCACTTGTGCAACACAAATGTGACCCGCTCTGAGTCTCAAATGAGTCTCAAGTCACCGGAGCCACTTTTGAGTTTTACTTTATATTACATGTAGATTGTGGAGCCCAATTTCATTTGTTTTGATGTGTCCCTGCTTAAACACTGCACAAGATTCTTTCACAGGCCTTTAACTTGAAAGTGGCTCTGGCGACATCTGACTCATTCTTGCAGAGCGGGTGACAAAATGTGTAAACTAAACATGATGTTACGACTTATATGTGTACATGTATATGTACATGTATAGATAGCTTCATGTACATGTACAAGTACATAACCAAGGTGCAAAGTTAATTCCATGTACGTGTTCAATGAACCTGCTTAAAAGCAAAGAAGAACTACTATACTTTCTTTTTTATCTGTTCACATTTATAAAATTCAAAACCTTCTTTGCCAACTGTTGGATTCTGCAATCAGCAGGATTGTGAGCACAACGCACAAAAAGCTCAGTCATAACTGCACATCTCATCGTTGCTGGCTTTCAAAGCTTCCAACTTTCACCAATTCATCCATTATTCATTCTGCTGTCTGTCTGTTTCGCCAATTTTAAAGAGCAGCTTGGCCATGGACCCATGGGCCCGGCATATTTCACACATTTTGCACCTGTTGTGGGGGTGCAACCCCACAAAAAGGAACACTTTCAGAAAAATCTGAAGCTGTATATGTATGAATAATTTAGTTTGGACGCAGGTGACAGAAGCCATGATTTTATTCTTTTTAAAAACCTAGAGCAATGTAACAGTAACATGTACCGGTGCGGTATCATCAAAGTAAAAAAATACACACTAGCTCAACTTGGACTTTGACAAAACAAAAGGACCAATCTTTATAAAACTTTGTACAGTGTTTTTTAGATTTTCCATTGCATGGGTGTGAAGTGAAAACAAGGAAATCAGCTGATCATAGGAAAAGTTGCATGCCTATGCGATATACAATGTATAGAACAGTGTACGCACATGTGTACATGTACATGTACACATGTGCTCTATGTATGCTACAATGTACACAAGCGTGCAAACATAAGTAGTCAGAAAAGGAGGTCACATACATGNTAGAACGATGCACGTCATCACAAATAAAAAAATTTTTAGCATAAATTTTAAGTTGCGGGTTGCACTGAGCTTCTACATGTGCATGTGAAGTCATGAAGGGCGCAGTAAGTATTTTATGCATCCTGAGCATGATATATGCAAATGACGTACGTCGTGCTATGTGAACTCCTTTTCTGAAAACCATGCACATGGTGTACTCATGTACATGTACAGTGCCTACCACAGTTTAAAATTTATTTCTTTTCATTTTCAATCTGCTCTGAAGAAGCTTCGCAATAAATTACATTCAAAAAGGCATACAAATTATGTAAAACGGCATCTACATGTACATGTACGCTCAGAACTGTTACAGCAATTCCCTACCACGGGCTACCAGTCAAATTTATAGATGTTAAATGAAATGAAAATTTTTGAGTAGGCCTCCAGGCATTCATATCGTGTACGGTACACGTACATGTGCAAGTTCGACAATCGTTATTAAGGTACATAGTGCTCGTGAAATTGAATCCAGCTTACCTGAGAATTTGGTGACTTTTTTAGCTCAGCCATGAAATTGTCCTCTTCCTTCCTCTCTGCGTGCTGAAGTGGCTCTTCCTCCTCCTGAAGAGTTCGTCCAGCCTCTACATTGAAACCCGTTTCCCTTTTTATATGTGCCTCGGTTTGGAGAATATCTGAACCCTCCTTAATTTCTGGTGCAGGGCCCTCTCCTATCGATGATAAATCCTCTGGTTGATCCGTGACATCAACCTTGTCATTAGAAACGGTTTTTTCTCGGTGTTCATAATCTGGATTCATTTTTCCATAAACCTCAATTCCATCACTGACTGAAGACGACTCTGATATTGATGCAGCTGCTTTGGGAATTCTCCTGTCATTGCTTCCCTTATTGAGACAAGGTGGTGGCTCTCCTTTGGGATCCTCCGAGGTACATACGGTATCCCCTTCATTTCTCCTGAGCCATGGTGAGGTGTTTTCCACCACAGCTGTCTTTGCGTTTTCAGCCTTTGGCAAGGCATGGATCACTGGGACCCTTGTCGATGCACTTGGCTGCCCTTTCTTGACCAAGTAGGTGTTAGTCCTCTTCAGACTGGTGCCCTGCGATGATGCGGGGCTGTCTGGTAGTTCAGACACAGAACTGCTGCTCTTCGGAGGATCCGAGATTGAACTTGTACCCTTCTTGAGGTCTGGCTTGGAGTTGCTTCGAGGGAGGCCTCGCGGAACTGGAGCGGGGGCTGGCTTTCCACCTTTGCCATCCCCAATGCTGTCTGTAATACTCCCTGGTAGCGTTTTAGCTAGTCTGGCTTCAGGCAATCCACCCCCGGACCTCCTGGCAGTGCTAGCCTTCGGCTGACTGTTTGGAGGAGTCTGAACTTTGGTAGAGTCTTTGCTTCCTGAGGCTGGACCCTCAAAGCTGAGACTTTTTGAGAGGGAGTTCTTGGAGTTACGAGTAGATCTGACGAGGGCTGTGGATGAGGCACGATTGGCAGATACAGATTTGGTGTCACCGGCACTCTTTAGATGCCCTGGCTTAGATGTCGGCTTAGATGTCCTAGAGTCAAGCTCAGATTTCAATCTCTCAATTTTTCTCCGCAGAGTTGCCTCTGTGTCTTTGGTGACTGAGTTTGGCCGCGCCGATTTTGTCACCTGGCCAGGAACAGCCGGCCGGCCATTACTTGTTCGACCAGCAGATGCCGAAGTTTGCCTAGGAGTGGACCCCGAAGAGCGAGGTGTGGTGGACGGAGTTTTGTTACGGCTGCCTGGTGTTCCTATTGGGGGCTTCCCCATCACAGGGCCATCGCCGGAAGACATGACTGGATATCAATGCGCGTAAACACTGCATGTATGTCATAAAAACATCTGGGTCCAGTTATGAACGGTGCATAATGTATTACGTGAAGAAAATCTGTCAACAGCACAGTTCAACATTTCTGTGTGTTATAGTTTACATGCATCTTTGACAGCGAGAGATTCTTTCTTTAACAATGCTGAATCAGACAAAAATACCAGTGCTATAAACTGAAGATGCTTCCATGGAAACGCTATTAAACATGTGCTGTCTTCCATACGACACTCAAAATCTGGGCAAAACCTCCAAAAGTATGTTTGAAAATACTTATCAGATTACAGTCTAGACGATCAAACTGGAGAAATAATTTTCATCTTCAGTGATGCAATTGCTGAATACTGTAATTGGCATGCATATCATGCCTTGTGGATTCTACGCGGCTGCTCGAACCTGAAAAAGATAACAGATGGCAAACTAATTAGCATCTTTTTAATGAATAACAATCCTTTGAAATGACACATCTGCAAATTAAACAAAGTACAGGGCAACTCGTGTATGTTTATGTTAAGGGTTCATGTATCAGCACTAGCCCCTAGCTACATGTAGGAACCATTTTGAATCAAATAAATTCAAACGGCACACTATTAAACTCATCAATTGTGCACAAATTACTCACAAAAAAGGTGAAATAAAGGAAAAGAACAGCAACTCAGACTGAGCATTACTGTCCCCATACGCATATACAGTCAACATACAAAGTACTTTCATAGATACATACATGTACATGAAATAATATAATATGAAACCTCCAGTCTGAATTTTGATGGACCTCAAAGTTAATATTTATTATATACACATATATACTAACGAGACAGCTGATTGGTCAGCATGCACCCGTGCACTGTCTCAGCACAGAATCTTTAAAATGTCACTTAGGTTTCTGAACAAAACAGTTTACCCTCCCCTTGCCAGCTTTCTATTGCCTGACAGAATATTATTTCTAGCTGCAGAATTCAGACATGGGGCCCACGGCCATTGTTAACTTTGATTACATGTACATGTACATGGCAACGCACACCACACAGATGATAGGGTAGGTTACCCAATATTCTTTTATGGTGGTATTTTTTTTAATCTCACCTTCCTGAATTATCCTGTCCTTGCTATTTTTTTACTAATAGCATATCCAGCGGGGGAGCAACTTACCTCCCCCCACAATATTTTTTTTTTAACAAAGAATACTTCATACATGTAGGTCAGAAAATAATTGGCATATTTATCTAATATTGGCACCAACACCCCAAGAAAACAACAGCATGAAATAAAAGCACGGATGTTGGGACGGCATGTAAAGCTTCTGAAATTTTAGTTTTTCTCCCCAAAAATCATGTTGAATGAGACCAATGCTTCCTGGATACACCCCTGTATTTAAAGTCCTCTTTTTCCTTCGCCCTCATGATGGCTTACAATTTAGAAAATATACTGTACCTTTAAAGCACTGTGTTTATAAATAAAGATGTAAAGAATGGAAATTGGTATAATTACTTTTAAAGGAACAAAATGATATCCTAATTTTGTGCCTTTTGACCTGTAATTTACTCAATCTCCAGTCTTCTCCTTAGATGTCCTTTGCCGAGAGAACAAGAGTGGTCCTGACCAATTGCACTGCATTCACTTATTAATCCGGCAGGAATTAACTTCAAGATCTTTTTTACCTCAATCCTAAATGCAGCGACAACTTTGACACTACTAAACTTACATTTGTTGGCATAGGCTGCCCCCAGAGTGGGCATAGTCTGAACATGTCACGCAGGCATACATGACGTGTCTAAATTGTACAACAAACAAAAAATATGCAGGTATCACATATTTCATTCTCGAGTCTTGGTGGCCCAATTCTCCTTTTATCATGTTTATCATTGTCTAAAACAATCCTTGAAAATGCCTGCTTTCTAAGCCCACATTATGTCATGTATGTGTACATGTACATGATGTAGGAACCAATTTGATCATTTTGATGTGGGCCTGACATATGTCATTGGGCCAATGGGCTGTAGCTAGGCATTAACATCTGTGTACACGTGGTGCATGTACATGTGGGTATACACACATACCCATAGGCTCCATGCTTAGGTATAATACATATTACAATGATATAATATTTAATGTACAGCCCATAGAGTTGGATATATATCCAACTCTATGGTACAGCCTGATCACGTATACACATGCCTTGCACTTATGAATGAAACCTTCGAAGTTCCATCTGCTGCTGCCAGTGCTGGGCAACAACTTCCAATTAACGTTAGGCCTTGTGCGTGCACGATTTTAACTTACCAAGTCCTCTGCAGCTAATCGTTGTAGCTCTGCAGCACTGATGATTATGAAAACGCTGAACAAGATTGAATTCTGCTGCATGCAGTAGAAGTCAACAAGGCACTACACTACATATGCACAAACATGGTCTACGCGATACTGCCGGCCACAACAAGCAATTTTGCCACCATTCAGCAGCTTGGTGACGTCACATAACCTTTGACACACTGATCGAATGCTGAGCCATCTACTGCACACTTTGCATATCTTTAGCGCTACAAGCGCGCAACAGGTGGATAGCTTGCCTCGATTAAAAGCTACTTTTTTTTTGTTTTGCTAGGTCTGTTTTAATTCACGCTGGTAGTGACAATCATAGAAAAAGTAAAACGTAATATGGATCAAGAGATCTTTGCCCACATGCAGTTAGCGTATTGTGGGTGGGGCTGGGATGACTCAACAATTGATGCATGCATTTCAAGGTTCATTTAGAGATGATGATTTGAACAATAAAATTCTTGGCCCCCCCCACAAACAAACAAAATTTCCTTGAAGTAGTCAGCATACCTGCTGTGTTTAAGGCTTTTCAGTGTTGGCACAAACTTACAAGTAACTCCACTCATATGGAATCAATTCAGACATTTTCTGCTTATATTTTATTCAAAAATAGCTAAACAAAGCTAAAACAAAAAGTTAAGGGCTAGACTTTATTCAAGGGTAAATTGCATGGACTGCTTAAGCACAGAGAAGATGAATACCGTACAGAAAGCAGAGCCTGACAGAAACAGCTAAATTACCAACTCGGAATGCATATACATGTACACGTAACATACATACTGCTTGTGATTGGCTCCCAGATAAATTTTGCTAAGTATGTAAATGTACTAAGCATATTTCTGCTCTTAAAATACAGCACACTGCAGCTAAGTGAAAACAGGGCCAGGTTCTCTGTTTTAGCCTAACTCACTATGTGCAAAAGTGAAGTAATTTAACTGGGTACGTCTGTTCATGTTTGTGCACAAAGCTATCCAAACCTTGAAATGTAACACAGCTTTAATACAGCTGTTTGTCCAATGCAGCTGTATTCTGAAACAGTGCCTCATCCAAGCCGATCCACCAAAAACCAACAAACACAATCAGTACATGTTATATGCCTCTATGTGTGTACCCTGCATATGTGCTGAATTTTGTTTGTATCGGTTGTACTTGTACGATGCATGAATGCATTCTGTTGATTTGAATTCTTCCACCTTATTTATGATCAACAAACATGTAAATGATGAATTCAAAATGTCAGCTTTCATTAGGGCAGCTTCAAAGTCAGGCACGCGACTTAGACTTCAACAAATCATGAGGGAATTCCAATCTTTACAAGACTTTTTAGTGTCTTTCAATTTTCAATGGCCTCAGTGTGAAATGAAAAATGAGGAAATCGGCCGATCCGACGAAAAGCTGCATGCCTGCAAAGTATGTGGACCTTCAAATTAGTGACATAGCGTGATGGTTTCACCGTAATCCACAAGACTGGTGATTCTGTTACACTCAAGGTAAAAATACACGTGTCCATTTTTCCTTCAAGCACTTCTCTACATCGGCCAATCCAAATTATGGTGCAACATCACAATGCTCTATAATACAATGAAAATATAAAGTCATAATAAAAATCACACGGCACATAACTCACTGAATACTCGTATGTGCAATTTCGGTTAAATTTCGCATTAAGGTTTCAAGGCGCTTAAAAATGGAAGGCAAAATAAATTAACTCGCAGTTTTTTTAAAGAATAAAACATGTTTATTTGCTACAACCGTATCTTGTTTTCATTGCAGCACTCTTTTTCTGTGGGGCAAGAACTACTTATAGTGTGAAACTGTTTTCATTTTGTTAGAGGACCCTTCCGAGATATAGCATGACACAAAACCTCTTTCTGAACAACTCCAAAGATCAGATGCACTATCTAATAAGCCACATTATAATCACTGCTTGGTATTTGACTTTACCAAAAGAGGATAAAAATACTGACAATTTACATCAGGTAAAACATTTGTCCAAAACAACGGTAGCACAAATTCCATAATGACCACAGAAAGACATGATTGGAAAATATAAATAAAACAAAAAACTTGATTTATACAATAAAATCAATATATTCTTCCAGAAAAACATGTCCAAACCAAATTTCAATGTTCATTATACTTAAAATAGTAGGCCCCAGTCATAATTTCAATTTTAAAAAGTATCTATTGTTTGAATGCAGAGATTATCTATATTCTTAGCAGTTTTTATTGATTTATATAACAATATAGTTAACAGTGGATACTAACATCTGCACCAAAAATACATCTTTTAGGTAGTTTATTCAGGGCTCCTTAAGACGTTATTCCAGCTTTTCTTTTTTACATTGGTTCATCCAGCACAAAAAGTCGTTCACTGTCTGCAATGTTGGTCTTCCTTATGTCACCGTTTATCTTCCTGATTTTGCCAAAGAGTGTACATGTACTTTTCCAATGAACTACTACTAATACCTAAGCACTGGAGATCTAGATGTGACGGATGAGAGTGGATTACTTGAATTTAGTAGTCCTCAGTAGTCCTCAGTACCTTTATTTTCATCAAGTAGTTTTAAAATGCCGTTTCCTTGTTGCAGCTGTGGGGACATGTGACTCAGTCATCATTCTTTAGACTGGTTCACAAGTTTCCTTCTTGTGAGAAGAAGCAAGGGTACAATACATAATTACAGACATGTCTCAACCAAAACTTTCATGTCATAAATAACTTTTTCACAGACGTTGCTGCGTTGGGTTCCAACCCACGGACCGATGCGGCCGAGGTGGTGAACGAAGCCGGCCAGGTGACTTTCAAGGTTACTCATCTCCGTCAGGTCGTCCATCAGCAGGCACCCCGACTCAGATGGGTCCCGAGAACATAGTGACTGTGAGCTTACATCATGCGGTTTTCCAGGAGAAGGCTGCGCGGTCATCTCATACTGAAACTGCCGAGTCGTGCCATCGGAGCCGTCAGTCAAGCGACAGCGGTGATCCAGACCAGCTTTGATGGCCACCAGCTTGTGGGTCCGCAGGCACGCCTGCAGAAGGTGGCAGACTAGCACGCAGTACTGCTCACACTTCTCCGCCGTTACGTACACCTTAGGGTTTTGCATGGTACCCAGAACCTGGACATACACCTCCTCTGTCGGTGAGGGGTTCGGCAAGTCCTTGCACTGACGTTTGGAGGGAGTACGTGGCCGGGCTTGATCGTGTGTCTGGCCTTCAGAATCTGAAATATAAACGTGAGCGCATTTTTCAATACCGACAAGTGAACTAGAGGTACCTCAGTACGTAGATTCACGTGTATCATGCTCAAATTGTTACCATCACTAGACATGATGTTTGAACAGTCAGGTTCCTTTAAAGCAAGTCGTACTTTCTCGTATCTCACTTTAACTCGAACAAGAAGATCATAAATTTGATGGCAAAAAAAAACCTTAAAGCAGCCAGCTTTAAAGACAAGATCTGATTTTGAAGCTACATGTGGATGCAGACGTTCTGGGTTATGCCTTATTTCAGATTTACTTTCTGTCAGATCAGGAGACCCATCTGTCTGTGTCCTTTTGAAAATAAATTGGGATTCTGGGGTCAATTTTTTTTTTTAAATGTACCTTAAGTCCAAGAAATTCATTTTGAAAATGTGAAACTCGGGCAAACAAATTGGGAAGCAGGGGAAATGGTGGGTGGGGGGTGGAAGTGAGGAAGGGGGGGAATGTGGGAAGATTTTAGATGCAGTTAAGGGAAGTTGAAACCCCCTATCCCCAGAGGCGATATTTGGCATCTTAAGAGTGGTTTATACTGCACACAATTTGAGGTAGAAATTATTCGTGGTTAAAACAGCACATCATCAAGCAGTAGTCAACCCTGAAATTCCTTGTTTTGTGTGTATGCAAAGTATGAACCCTCTTCAGACGGATGTAAAATTGGGGGGGGGACACCTACATATGGAGGCATTCTCTTTGCATCAATTATCGTTGCACTTACTTTTAATGCCATCCGTACCGGAAGGTTCCAAGGCACGCTTCATTGGCTCATCCTCGGCAATGTCCAGTGGCGTCAGTCCAGCCTTGTTCCTTGCCATCAAGACTGCTTTGCCTGGACCAAAATAATTGGAATGCAAAGAAAACAAAGTGTTGAATTGGCAGAAATGAAATTTTGTAATGAGAAATGGTCTGGTGCTAACCGTTGAACTGAAAAAAGCCCTGTGGTTTAGAAAAAGGGGTTTTACTTTTAAGTTTCTTCGTGTCTGCCCAATGAAAAGATGCAGAACTTTATAACACTGCTATCTATCTCAATGAAAACCCTTAGCAAAAGGGCAGCAAAACAGGTTGAGTAATAAAATTATGAGACAATTTTGTAAGCTTTTTCACTATCAATACATATGCATTTCCACAATTCAGGCAGAAATCAATGGTCTGTCAAAGAAGTAATCTGAAATTCCTTACAAAGGACTCTCCTAATAGCTTGAAAGTATAGCCTTCCATCGCTGCAACACTACGATCAAATCCTGTCCTGGTCAGCATGTGGATTTGGGTTTCCAGTGCCTACCTGACTCTGAGGGATTTCCCTGGAATATTTCTCAGGGTTTTCCCTCCCTCCTCATAAACTGAACATTCCTTTATTGTCTTCTTCATCGTCACTTATAATCACCCTGTAATACGGGCGTTTCACAACAGTGCGCCTTCAAGAGTTTGCAACGCTTTGACCAATCAATGTGTGAAATCTGTCGACCCAATGCGCGTTTGGAAAGGGTCAACAGATTTTGTGCACTGTGATTGGTCAACGCGTTACAAACTCTTGGAGGCGCACTATTGTGAATAGCCCGTATTGACGCTTGCATTGTTGGCTGATCATAAAATGGCATCAAACAACAGCCTTACCCCCAGCCTGTACTAGCAGTCTGGCTACCTCCCTGTGACCATTGTTAACGGCATCATGCAGGGGCGTGGTCCCACACTCGGCAGGAGCTGCTACAAGGTCCAAGGAGTCCTGATATTTCTTGTGATTACCTGACCAAAACAAGAGGTGCACCCGCAGCAACTGTCAGTAGAAATCTTTAAAGAACATGACATTCTTGCAAAATGTGACAGATCTGGCCTGAGTCGAGGGTGATATCGGAGGAAAGATGAAATATCAACGAAATGATCACCAGAGGGTTTTGGAGGGCCCACAGCACTGTAGGATCTATAGTACAAATCTGTGTTTGCTTAAACACATTCCTTAAATGACCCATTTTTGTGTTCAATATCAACCTTTACGTCTCCAACTCAAGATTTTCAAGACTTTTAAAGAGAGTGGCTGAAAAGTCTTGAAATCACGAAAAATAATGATAAATCTCTGCTGAGTTTTCAAATCAGGATTTGCCAGCATTATGAAATTCAGCGAGGCATTCAACTCACAATCATTACACTTATACCAAGTCAAAATTTAACAAGACTTTTATAGAGTAAAATATTGAGGAAAACATGGGTGTGAGTGGCCACACATACAAGGAAGCTGAAGCAACTACCAACTACCTGAAATTCAAACAGTTGAAATTTGGGGTAAAAACTTAAATAGAGAAAAGCTGAACTCAACCAAAAATGCTGAACTCTCAAACCCCTGGAGAAAGGCCTTGAAATTTGTTGAGTGCTGTAACTGTGAAAACGAAAGGTGCCCATTATTCGCCCCCCCCAACCTCTTGGAACGTCGCTATACCGAACACCGCTATACTGAACGTTTGGCTGTACCGAACATCGTCCTCGGCTCCCAATAATTTTTGCGCAAAACCTTCTGAACATTATGCAGTTGCAAATCAACCGAGATTCACCACAACATGTATCAGAGATCGATCCTGAGCAGTAGCTTCACAACTTTTAGGATAAACTAAATATCAATTTTGTAACTCAAGATTTAATAAAAAACAAAAAACATTAAACATATACATTTCTAGAAACCTCAAACGTGAATGCAATGGCAAAACATTACGAAAGCAGCAAATCATAGTATCACAAGATGGTGCACTTCAGTTAGACAAGAGACGGCGCTATTCAACATGGCAACGAAATGTGCGGGAGTTAATTTCACTATACCGAATGACCGCTGTACCAAACATTTAGCATGGACCCCGTCATGTTCGCTATAGCGGTGTTCCACTGTAATGGTATGTTCCTGTCTGAAGTAGTCATTCTCCTTATAAGAGATTGGCACGCACGTGGTCTATACTGCCCAAGGTGGCACATTATAGCCAGCTAGTCCTTTATCAGCCATTTGAGACCAGCCACATGACAGGCTCTTGACCAATAAGAATTGCTAAACTGTCTTAGGCATTTATGAATGCCATTTTTTAAAACATGTTCAGTATGAATAGCAATTATTGCTATGGCTTGTGCCTACAGTGTAGTTTTCTCTTATCTTGATATCCCGAGCCAGTTTCGGGAACAAAAGAAATTATGTAACACCACACAATCTGGGCTCTCTTTACAAGGCAGCAGGCCCGGCTGAAATACTCAGGCATAAATACACGTAGATGTTGTCTGTCATATTAATTTTGAAGAATTCTGAAAACAGAAAATCTTGAAAATTTCCCGGGAATTCGTCTTGCCAACTTCAAATTAAAACCGGCAGCAAGTGGTGAAGAGATACAATGATGGTCTCGGTGGTATTTATATGACGAGGTCTCTGAGACCGCACCTGGGCGAAGAGAGCCGAATCCTCACCTGACGCAAAGTAAGCCGTGATTTTCTGCTTGGGCCTGTACTTGAGCAGTTCCTTGACGCAGTCCAGGTGTCCGTGATTGGCCGCTTCGTGGAGTGCCGTCCACCCGGCATAGTCCTTCATGTTGACCTGGATGGTCGAACAGGCCAACAGCTCTCGGACTTTGGCCGGGTCATTCTTGATGCAAGCCATGTGCAGTGGGGTCTCTCCTGGGGATCAAATGATTAAGCACTGTGCGAGAAGATTGGTTCAAGTAAAACCACTAAGCATTGGCATCACTGGGAAGGGAGCAAAGCTCTTTCCAAGGGGGAAAAAACCCCAGTAGCAAACTGACAAACCATCAGGGTTCCCACAGAAATCTAGAAAGCAAATTCAATGACTTTTTCAGGACTCTCCAGAACTAAAATATGACCATTTCCGTGATATTTAACATCAGCCTGCAGAGAAACGTTGTTTGGAGACACTGCCATAGACCAACAAGGATGTAGCCTGCAAATTTATCATTATTCCGTTCATCACGTCAGGGGCAGCCTCCAGCCCATAATAAACCCTTGCATTGTATAGATTCCCGTGACTTTCTTCCTCTGACAACAGGTTTCCATGGCATCCTAGTTTCCCCAATTTTCCACGACCTTCCAGGGCAACTTACTTTCCCAGGAGTACACATGACTATGTGGTCCCTGACCACCACCAGTGGGAGGGTCAATTCTACGCTACTTCAAAGTAACTTGGTGATTTTAAAATCCCCTCTCCCTTATTTTTCTCTTTAATTTTTCTATTTTTCCACCAGCCCATGATGACTACGCCCCTAAATTCTGTATTCCATCCAAACTACTGTACATCTCTGTATCCGCTTTCAGTTCCATCGGGCCCACGGCGATGGCCAAAAATTAATGGCCGCAGTCTTTTACCTCTCATGTTCCTGCGGTTCACTTTGCCGTTGGTCATCGCTGCTTTCTCATTGGAGAGTTGCCGATTCTTACCAATGTTATTGCTTATCCTGGGAACCAAAGAAAATCAGGACCACTGCTCATTATTCCTTTTTCTATTACACATGTAGTGAGAAGCTTTGTTAAGAGTCATAGACCAAGGTTAATGTTATGTGTCAAACCGTGAGGACATCATTCACGGTTTTGTTGTCACTGGCTCCACACTTGTTGCTACGGTGATAGAGTACCAGAGTGAATATGTCATGTGAACAATTATGAGTGTGAGAAAACACTGGCACAAGAGCCAGTTCATGAACCAACATGTGGTCGTACTCCATTTGTTCCAGGTTCAAAACAGTGTCAAACTTTGGCACTCTACAGAATGGAGCTGAATGATTCAGTTTCGTGAGAATGCTGGCACAAAAATAGCAAAATCAGCAAGTGTCACATGTAGCGCCTTGAACCAATGAAAATACAGAATCCGTGCATGAAGTGTTATGTTTCTATTCAACGCTGGTCACAATTCAAAAGGCGTCAATTTTCCAACTTAGACACTGTCTACATTGTGAAATGCTAGCAGTCCTTTTCGAACACTCCTTTTCAAAAACGCGGCTCGTCTGTGATGGCAACTCATTGCATTCCTGACAGATATGAACCATTCTTGATGGCATTTTCCGTTTCCTGAATTCAAACCACAAACTTACGCGAGGGTCTTCAGGGGGACAGCGGTGGATTTGTCCTGCCGCTTCTTCTTCCTGGGGTTTGTTGTGACGTCTTCCTCATCATCCGGTGTCACATTGGAGAGCGTGCGCTTTGCCGTTGGGGGTATGAGATAAAAGTAGTAGTTGACCTGTCATGGAAAGTAATGGAGAAGAAAACTGTCTTGGGTTCTAAGAATGACGATTATAAAGATCAATGACTTGAAAGAATGACAAAGCTTTCAGATGAAGAGTAAAAGAAATGTTGAAACTAACAAGAACAAAAGCCTACAGGTAGTAAAAATATCAATGCAGTCCTCAAGTAAATACGATGTTAAATTCCATCCCATAAAAAAGTTTCAATTTTCACCTTAAACAATTCTAGATAATTTCCTTTTTCAAACAAATGCTGAATATGCTTGTAAAGGCTTCTTTAGCAAATGCTTCCTTAATCTATAACAATAATAGACATTCAACACGAATAAGCTGGCCTTTTTTTTTAAAGTTCCCCGTTGCCACTGATGGATCAAACACTGCATTGCCATGGCAACAAGTTAATGTTACATTTTTGATTTTACTGAAAACTTGTTAATTCTAAGCTAATAGCACTGACCACTTTTTTGAGTGACAAGGGCTTGCCGGCAACACTTCGGTTCTCATCTAGCACCAAGCTGTCGTTGTAGACGCTGAACAGGCTTTCCGTCACCTTCAGCTTCAGCCAATCAGGTCGCAGCAGGGACAGCAGGATGTTCAGTGACTCTGTTCTGTCTGCAAGTCCGTCTGTGGAATTAGGATAGGCTTTAAATAAGACTACAGCAAGAATTTGTGTTAAAATATGAACAAGTTAATACAGGAATAAACATGTGCTTGGCTAATATTAATGCGTTTCAAACCGGCTCAGGAGAATGGACATGGCTAATGCCTGAGCCGCAGGCAAGGGCATTATCAGCATTCATTCTCCTGAGCCGGTCTCAAATGTTAGTTAAGACCGGCTAAGCACATTTTTAATCCCATTCATAAATACCTGTTTTCATTCAAGGAGTAAAAAGAAATCAATATATGGCAGATTTCCAACGATTTTGTTCTAGATTTTTACTTCCATTTTCCTGAACACCCCGGGCCATTTTATGGTACAATCCTAGTGCAAGTAGTCCAGAAGAATCTCCTTTTGTGGACTTGGCTCACGCGTGGCAAGTTTTGTGTGCAATGGCACACACAGACTCTTGACCAATAGGAATGGATTAAAACTGTCTTGTATCCAGGTGCCAGAGTTTTTACACAGTGGACATTATCAAATGTTAATACACGGTCACATTATGCGTTGAATAGGGAGACTGTCTGAGGTACATGAGTGTATATTCTTTGCTCTTTCCAATTATATGCGCCTTGGTGGTAAGTTTATCCTACCTTGCATCGCCATGGAAGCAATCTCCACAGCTAAGTCTTGATGGGCACCACACTGCAGGGTTCCCAGAATGTCGCTGTCCCTCGTAAATATCCTGCAACACTCAGCGGCTATCTCAACCAATGTCACAATCATCCTCAGGCAGGGGTACTGCAAGTACAGAAATAAAAACAGCTCCCTGTCAAACTTCTGGGGGGGTAGGGGAAAAGAATCCACATCTCCTACACTCCTGAACTGTGTTCTACAACTACGTGTACAAAACTGCAAGAACTGGAAATGCAACATGCCTTAGAGATATCAATGTGATTGGAGTGACCCGAAAAAAAATGTGAACGTCAGTGGGTTCAAAGTTTTGATCAAAGCAGGCCCTCTGGCTTTTATTCAAGATTTTGTGTTTGTTTCTACGAGCAAATGTAAGAACCATTCAAAGATGTGTGAAAATTGGAAAATAATATGGCTGTTTTGTTCACAACAGAGGACCATACTATTAAAAGAGTATTTTGAGGAAAATTTAGAGTTTTGGAACCTCCACAGGAATAAGCAGAAAGCAGAAAGGAATGTGAGTGCCTTATTATGAGCACATATCACGACATCACACCATCCTCGCAAACTTCTTTTTTATTTATTTCTCCCTTTATGTGCAGTTTCTAGTCATTTCCAGTGGCAGCATGACTGACCATATCCGGCGTCTCTTCCACCACTGCCACACCTCGAAGCAAGAAGGTGATCAACTGCCTGACGAGGGGGGAGAACGCCTTGATGCGGTGGTTGGGCCATAGGATGCCAGACAACATGCAGCGACGAGGCTTGCGCTTGTGGGAGGTATTCTCTTCCCTTGATATAAGTGAAGGAAAAAACGGAGACAGTCCAGATGACAGATTATAAGAATTTTCAAGGGTTTGAATTTTTCAGCCATTTATATTTACAGCTACTTTGTTTCCCAGAATTTTCATGGAATGAGGAAAGGAACATGAGGAATACAAAGAATGGCAAAAACCAAAATGTAAAACACTAAGAGGTGGTTTTGGTTGTGGTCATGGCTGTGGTTTTGGTGGTGGTCGTGGTTGTGGTTTTGGTCATGGTTGTGGTTTTGGTTGTGGTCATGGTTGTGGTTTTGGTTGTGGTCATGGCTGTGGTTTTGGTTGTGGTCATGGTTGTGGTTTTGGTTGT